TATGAGAGGATTGTAAATCATTTTAGGGTTTTCCCCTCATATCTCTCATTTTCAAATTTTTATTTTATTCCTCTTTGAGTTTAATTTTAAGATGAGATGAACTTGTATTGTTGGCTCCCTTGTGCATTTAAGTTTGAATTTCAATTTTGTTTGTGGTTCACCTTTAAAACTGTTGATTATCCCCATGAGGTTTTTAACCTTTTGTTTACATTATTGTGACATTGTGTTTACATATGATATCCTTCATTTACCCTTTGCCCTAACCTTAGGATTTGAGTCGTCGTGCTCTATTTAGCGTCCCACCGTGGACATCCTTTACCCTTTATCCTAACCTTAGGATTGGAGTCGCCGTGCTCTATTTAGCGTCCCGCCGTGGACATCCTTTACCCTTTATCCTAACCTTAGAATTGGAGTCGCCGTGCTCTATTTAGCGTCCTGTTGTGGACATCCTTTACCCTTTATCCTAACCTTAGGATCTGAGTCGCCGTACTCATATTTAGCGTCCCGCCGTGGACATCCTTTACCCTTTATCCTAACCTTAGGATCTGAGCCGCCGTACTCATGTTTAGCGTTCCGCCGTGGACATTCTTTACCATAACAATCTCAACGTAGATTCAGGAGTCGCCGCACTCCATGTAAGTACTTCCCTATGAATGCTTACATCCCCTTGGAACCTTGACCACAGTCAAGACTTCCTCACCCCTAGATAGGGGAACTACGAACGTTCTGATTTCTCGTTGAGAATACGTAGGCACAAGATGCGACGTCTTGGCAAGCCAACTTCACACTTTTCCAAATTAACCCATTAACTCACTAACAACTAACTTCCTGCTAATATTTACAACTTATAATTGGAGTTGTCGTGCTCTATTTAGTCGTCCCGCCGTGGACATTCCCGGTGTTTACCTTTGCAACTTAGGCTTGGAGTCGTCGTGCTCTATTTAGTTGTCCCGCCGTGGACATTCCCTTCCTTGCTAACTTAACTTTAGTTTAAAGTCGCCGCACTCTATGTAAGTGTCTCTCCGTAGACATTTACTTTCCCTTTGGAACCTTGACCATAGTCAAGAGTTCTTCATCCCTAGTTAGGGGAACTACGGTTGCTCTGATTCCATTCCCGTCAGGATACGTAGGCACGAGATGCGATGTCTTCGTGAGCATACTTTACTAAACTTTATATATACTTTATATCTTTACCCTTAGCATTTTCCATTTGGCAAGCAAACTTTAGCAAACACAAATATTAACAAGAGGTTCCTGTAGAGTACTACAGATGTTTAGGATGTGAAATACCTACCCTAGGCATAACCAACCCCCGAACCTTTAGATCTCTCTTTGCTCAGCTTTAGGCCTTGCCTTTTGCTTTGCATTTTTATAGGTTTTTCTTTCTTTAAACCTTTCCGTTTTGGATAAATTAAAGTCCGGTTGTGAACTTAAGAATTAAAGATTCAAGTTAATCAATAGCTTGGTATCACGATTCTCACCGCAACACCGGCGAACCAGAAAAAGAAAAGATCTGGGAAAAAGTTTAGGGATAAAAGAAAAAGAATACACCCACAAAGTTGAAAACCTGAAAAGGCAGCTTTGGCAAAAATGGGTATCCTGGTAGATTGAAAACCCGCAAGGGCAATCCAGGAAAAAGTTATGAACTTAAAAGCAAATGACTACGGTCTGCTTTCCACTTTGCCTACAAATCAGTCTGTTTCCACTTTCTTATTCGTGTATGTTTTAAGCATTGCACGATCATAATGGAGAGGTTTTGCATAATAGTGTTTTTAACGAATAAGAAAATAAAATAGAGTAGATTCGATAGAGATTAAAAACGACCAGACCTTTTTGAATCCTTTATTTTCTCACTATTTGATAATTTTGTCTATTCCCTAAAATTATTCCTCGTATCAAGATGAATTAACAAATTAGTTATGTCTAATCTCTTGGCGCATAACCCTCTATTTTAATTACAACCGCAAAATGTACTAGTAGAGTTCATAATCTAAAGAGGTTTGATTAAAAGTTAATTACTGTGAAATTAGCCGAGTTTCAAAAGATAGGGTTAATAATCAGTCTCATCTTGAAATCAATTTATACATTCATTAATATATAAAAGGCATTGAACACGAATTTAAGTGAATTAATACTCGGATTAAAATTTCATAGAATAATACTCAATAATTACATAGTTAAAATAGTTCAAAATAAATTCATCTAAAGATTCAATCAAATAAAATTTAGCTATTCATAGTAATACAATTATTCATATCCTAAAGATTTAAGGAATGGTACATGATTTATAGATGAAAATTGGTCTTCAATAGTGTGAAGACTTCAATCTCTAATTTCCAAATCCTTATTATAGTCCAAATTTCTTAAAAGTTCCGAACTCCCCTCTTTTTGGCAAATTTTATTTTATAATAGGTTCACTTAAATCGAATATTTGATTCATTAGACTTTTAATAGTTAAAAATATGGTTCTCTTCCAGTTTTGTTTGGTATGAAATAAAAAGGAAAGTGATGATAATTCTAGTAAGAGAAATTTAAAGAGAAAAAGATTTAAAAAAAATTAGTATTGTTTTAATGACAATTTGTCATCATTGAATTTTGTCCGAAGTTTTGAATATTTTTAGCATTTGGTGGGAAATTACATGATTTGAGTAGGATTTTTTTAGCCATATTTGAGAAAAAAAGGGAAAAAGTTGTTAAAAGAAAGAAAAGAAGAATTTGGAAGAGAAAAAAAAGAAAGAAAAGTTGTTGGAAAAATCATGGCGTTATTTAGATCAATTTTTCGGGCCTAATACGCAAACTCGTTTGAGCCCTAAGTTGTTATTGACCGTTGATCAAACTAGTCAACCCCTTAATCAAGTCAACCAAATCGAAATATTTTCCTCTTGATCATTTAAATTTTTGAGATATGCTTCACACTTTTAAGAAAATTAGACTATCTTATGATATAAACAATTGATTAAGTTGTTTATCTAAAAAAAACTGTTACTGATTCAAAAATGCTAGTTAAATTTTAGATGTTAATTTGAGTATTATAAATTAAATCACATGCTCTTGAAACACAACTTAAACTAAAGAATAGTTAATTGGGTTGACACATCTTTTTATTAATATGCTGGTGTTTTAAATATGGATTAACATTTGTATCAATTTCTTCAGCTCAAGAAGTAGATGAAGATTATCATAACAAAATATTAGTGATAATTGTTCTGGTTACAATTATGACTGCTGCTCTTCTGATGGGAACATTATTTTGTTACTACTACTATCAAAGTAAGGATAACATTAACTTTCACCCTAGAGTGATAAAGTTGAATAATAATAACAATAATAATTAATAAATAATAATAAAGATATTATTACAATTTTCCTTTGATTTTTTATGTTTTCATATACTATTTTACAATGTTTTGGCAGGAACCATAACCTTTATTACAAAAGTGATACACAAGTTGGAGATATATTTATCTGCAGCTGAAGTAGATGTTTATCAAGATTCTTATGATTTGATAGTATTTGGCTATCCCACAATTAAAGCATCAACAGATAATTTCTTGAAAGAAAAAAAGCTTGGAGAAGGTGGATTTGGTACAATGTATAAGGTAACACTTGAAAATAAATTTGTTTGTGAAATGTTTCATGCAAATAAAAACTTATGATTGATTTCGTCAGGGAAAATTACGAAAGAGATAGGAAATAGCTGTGAAAAGGCTCTTAGAAAACTCGAATCAAGGACTTGAAGAGTTAAAAAATGAAGAAGATTTTAATGGAAATGCTTCTGATTTGGTAGTATTTGGCTATCTCACAATTAAAGTAGCAACGAATAACTTCTCAACAGAAAATAAGCTCGGAGAAGGTGGATTTGGTGCGGTGTACAAGGTAACACTTGAAAATACATTTCTTTGTAACTTGAAGATAAGCAAAGTTTGCAAGGAAAGACTCTGAATACTTATGATTGATTTTGTCAGGGAAAATTGCGAAAGGGACAGGAAATAGTTGTGAAAAGACTCTTAGAAAACTCGAATCAAGGACTTGAAGAGTTCAAAAATGAGATCACACTCACAGCAAGATTACAACATGTGAATTTAGTGAGAATTTTGGGTTACTGCACAAAAAGGGATGAGAAGCTTCTCATCTATGAATACCTCCCAAATAAAATCTTAGATCATTTTCTCTTTGGTCTGTCACATCAAGTTTATACTCCATTGCAATAATTCTAACTTTCACCTAGTAAATTTTTGGTGACTAATAGTTTAGAATTTAACTTAATGCAGATCCAAAGAAATCAATTCTTCTAGATTGGAGGGAGCGTGTAAATATCATTGAAGGGATTACTCAAGGCCTTGTTTATCTCCAAGAGTACTCAAATTTTACTATAATCCACCGAGATCTTAAAGCTAGTAATGTTTTGTTAGACCATGAGATGAATCCTAAGATAGCCGATTTTGGTCTTGCTAGAATATTTGGAAAGAATGAACTTGAAACAAATACAAATAGGATCGTGGGAACATAGTAACTATTAAGTAAATCATAATCAATCATGTGTTACTGTTTTTTGTTCCATCAATGTCTCTAATCGCTCATGTTGGCTTTTGTAGTGGATACGTACCTCCCGAGTATGTCTGAAAAGGCATATACTCACCGAAGTATGATGTTTATAGTTTTGGAGTCCTTCTCTTGCAAATCATAAGTGGGAAGACTTCTTCACATTATTACGGCTCACATGAAAATATGAGCATTTTGGAATATGTAAGTTATCTATATGAAATAAGTAAAGTTTTGTTTTTCTAATAATACGTTCCAAAAATTTCACACCTATGTTAGCTGTCATTATTTTACCACATTTATGCAAGATTGCACAAAATCTTTACTAATTTTCTTGATGTTGAAACATTAAAGCAACTTTTTATTTCATATTTTAGGCATATGAGCTATGGGAGTAAGGAAGAGGTGTGGAGTTTTTGGACCCTTCATTGGATGATTCAACATGTCATTGTAAAATCATGAGATGCATGCAGGTAGCTCTTTTGTATGTTCAAGAGAACTCAACAGATAGACCTTCCATGCTAGAAGTTGATACATGTCTCAAGAATGAAGTTACACATGTTGGTATTCCTAACATGCCCGCTTTTTTAATAAAAAAACATGAAGATGACAAGGGAGATACATCTAAGTTAAGGTTGAAATTTTCTTCAATCAATGAAGTTACAATCTCTGAGATGGTAGCAAGATAAATGGTGTACTTTGTAAGTTATGTTGTCGATATTTTTCCAAAAAATTGAGGTTGATGTTGCACAACAATTTGGGAACAACTTCCTCTAGTCATGCAAACTCTTCCATATTTGTCAATATTTTTCTCCAAATTCAAATGCTCATAAAGACATCATGTCTTCTATTAGATTTGAAAGAGGTGTTAAACAATGATTTTTTCCTCTGTTTTTTCATTTTTCTGCTCTGTAGAAATTGATTTTTCAAAGCTGTAATCTATTACAACTTTCTGGTAACTGGTTACAAGCAGCTGCAGCTACTTGATCTCGTTAAAATGACATCTGGGCTGATCACAGTCTTTATATTCGTTGCATCAAGCAATTAGTAATCACTGGTAGAGTGATTCATGTTCGATATACATCCATACCATGGTTCCTCCGATGTTATCTTCTCAAGATTATTTGTTGGACACCTATTCAACAAATAAACAGTTGGGGACACCGCTTTTCCCCATAACTTTTTCGGAATTTTTTTCCTCTTTAACATGTTTCTTACCATGTTCATGATTGATCGATTCTTCCTTTCGGAAATACCGTTTTGCTACGGTGTATAAGGTGGTACAACCTTGTGTACTATCCCTTCTTGATCACAAAATTTCCCAAAGTCATTTGAGACATATTTGCCTCCATCATCCATTTTGAGCATTTTGAGCTTGTGACCACTTTACATCTCAACCATGGACTCGAACTTCTTAAGCACTTCAAATACCTCATCCTTTATCTTGATTAGGTATGTTCATTGTTTTCTACTATGTCCATCGATGAATGTGACAAAATAACCATTTCCACTAATCGAGTCAACTTGCATTTGTTCACACACATCCGAATACACCACCTAAAGGTGATGCTTGATTCTACAACCTGCATCCTTACTGAATTTACCATTATGTTTCTTCGCTTGCAAACATTCTTTACAAATTTCATTCGGTATGTTGATCAATGGTAGCCTCGTTACCATTCCATTCCTTTGCAAGCCATTGAGATCTTTAAAGTTTAGATGCCCAAGCCTAAAGTGTCATATCTATTTTTTTTGACTCACTGTTGTAGCATGACACTTATGCTCCATAACTTTCAACTCAACGTGAAATTTCTATTGGCAGCCATATGAGCTTTTAGGACCAAAACCATGTTTACATCCATAACGCATAACCCCTTGTTTTCCATGTGAATCTAGTAACCATTCTCAAGGAATTGGTCAATACTTAGAAGGTTACACTTTATTTATGGAATTTACAACACATATTTGATCAATGAATGTCAACCTTCCCTTCTCATGATGAACACATCACTGATCCCATCGGCCGCTAGAGTGGTTTCATATGCGAGCTTCACTTTGTTCTTCATGGCACAATTGATTGTAAGAAGCCAATATTTCCTCCTTGTCATATGAGTAGAACATCTGGAGTCCAAATACCTTTCCTCGTTGCACTGAATGGCAACTTTCGTACTCATCATGACACTTTCTTCTGCCTATAAGTGGTTACTTCATTTATGTAACTGATTTCATCATGCTTATGTAGTGTTCCCAAAACAGTTGCTGATATTGTCATGCATCTGTTAGACGCCAAATTTCACTTATTTGATCTATCAAATGTTGGCATCTTTCACTGATTTTTGTCAAGAAAGTGTTGAAAACCACTCTTGCTTTGGTTGGTTTTCAATATTATGAGAAAATCTCTTGGTACCTTTGATTTGTGTGTTATTGTGCAGGAATTAGGCACAAAAACAAGTGAAAAGTAAGACACAAGAAATGGGCAAGGAAACCAAGACAGCATGCAAACAACAGCAAGTTCGCTAGGCGAACTTGCTAGCGAAGCTCCCTCCAAAACTTCATGAAGTTCGCTAGGCGAACTATGTAGCAAAGGACTCGCTAGGCGAAGTGGTAGCGAAGCCCTAGCGAACACTCCCAGATTTGAGGCAGGGGCGAAAGAAGCATAAATTCGTTAGGCGAAGCTCGTAGTGAAGGCTTCGCTAGGCGAAGGAATTGCTCGCCTAGTGAATATTTGGAAATGTCTCAGGGGCGGTTTGACTGTTCAGAGGCACCTCACGTGCCTAACTTACTGCTCGCTAGGCGAAGGATCTGTTCGCTAGGCGAACATGACAGATCCTGAATGTTTTATTTAAGTGTTTTTATTGCTTTTTAGGTTAGGTTCTATTATGTAACTTTATATACATCAGAACTTATCTCTCTTCATCTATTTTAGAGAGAGAAACACAAAACCCTAAGAGGGATGAGGTAAGATCTTTGATCTCTTGTTGGGGTTTGGATGTAATCTTTTGATACCTTATGTATTTCATCTAATTTATGTTTGTGAACTAGTTTAGATTCTCTATTGATTGATTATCTTTGATTGCTTATTTGTGGGTCTTGACAAAACCATTTCACATCTTTGATCTCAGATTTTCTTCTATCAATGAACAAACTTTTGACATGGTTTTGTATGTTGATATTCATTGTATCTTCTATGGTGTTGTGTTGATTAAGTAGTATGGGTAGGATCAATACAATATTGTGCGGGTGCGTGATAATAGTGATGAAGAACGATGTTTACAACCATTTGGCAGATTAGGTGATTACATGTAAAAAAGGGTTAAGCGTGTGCACGTATTTTGATCATTGTGTTTTATGAAAAACAATCGTTTATCAGATATGGGTGTCGTCTTTGTTTATCTGTTTATCTTTGATTTGAATCGTGATAGAGATATACTTTTCAGATATGGATCTAGGATGATTACCTGTTAGGTTCTAAATGCTAGAGATAGGTTTAGGCTTAACATTTGCGTGAGTATCAGTTCGTAATGCTCTGTGTTGTGTTTTTGTTGGATGAGAGATCACCAATGAGACAACATGGTTGTTCTCTCGATGCTGCATTAGAGATAAGCTTTGTCATGAGTGATACGTAAGGGTATTAGACGAATGATTGCGTTATGTTTAATTTGATCAAAAGAATGCATGTGTTATCCATTGATGAAATCCAATCCCAACAAGGCTCCGTTTATATTTCAGTCTTTAATTTATAATTTCTGTTTTTATTTATGGTTCCTTGAATCCTTTTAAACCAAAACTTTTGAACAATAAGCTTAGAAATATAGAGGCCGTTGAACGGCGTTCATATCACACTAATCCCTGTGGAGACGATAAAACTGGGTACTTAATATTTTTTGCTTGCTGCTTTATTGCTTCAACAAAATGGCATCGTTGTCAGGGATTGGTGTTGAGATATTGAATTGCATTGCAACGATTCTATGTTTTTAAGATTTGTATATTTTGTATATATTTGTTTCTTTTTATGTTTTTTCTAGTGTGCTCAGGAATGACGAAAACTCCTTCTAGAGTGGTTGCTATCGGTATAAAAGCATTCAATGAAGCTTCGACCGAGTTTGGATGGCGATGATAGTATGAAACAAGTGAATATTGTCAAGGTACATGGTTTACTTTATTTAGAATTTTAGAATGCTTAAGAACTTAAGTCTTTGTGCAAATGAAATTTGTTCTTTTGGCAACTTGTTTGAATGAGTGTTTCACTTAGGACCAAAAACCATAATTTGTGAGAAAGCTTCCATTGTTTACTAAATGTTGGATTTCTGATAAACTTTGTTGATTCGTATGATTCATGCTTTGTCTTGTTATCATTGTGAATTTGTGGAAGTATTAGAAATGATCAAGGCACTTGTTTATATTGAGCACAATTATGTCCAAATGCAACTTACCCGTGAGTAGAGAGAATTCGTTAACCCCTTTGAGCCTAAACAATGTGAATCTCATTCTTAATTTTGTGAGATTCTAAAATTTTTCTTGAACCCTTGAATTTTGTTTTAATTGTCCTCTTTGCCATAAAAAGCCAAGAGCATTCACTTGAGGGTTGAGTAAAATTTAAGTTGGGGAGAATGAAAAAGAAAGGTGATAGGTTGCTACAACTTTTGAAAAATTTAAGCAAGCATTGAAAAAAATTGTTATGTGAATATGAATGTAAAAAAAAAATGAGAAAAATAATGCTTGCTTGAAAAAGAAAAATAGTGAAATAATAAGTTGTGAAATAAGGTTTGTGAAGGTTTGCAACTAAGAAACAAATGGAATGAAGTTGAGGTGTGTAAATAACATGTTCAGTGAATGTCTCTTTTGCATCGGCAATTTTGTTTCAATGGCCTTAGAAATGCCCCTTGTTTGTAAACCCGACCATGCTACAACCTTAAAGATCTTAGTGATCTTTTTGCTTCCATATTTTCACTTTTGATTGTTAGATGTTTTATGAATTGAATTGATATTGGCATTGTTTGTTAGTTGAGTGAAATTGTCCTCGCGGTTGCAAACACGTAATTTCTTCAATCCTTATTCGAAGAACAGAGATAGAGTGATTCATTCACGAAAAACATAGTTGTTGATTGATACATGGCTTAATATTTGTTTTAAGAATTTAATTCTTGTGCATTGTTTGATTCTAAACATTTGAACCTGTGGCTTGTTTGCATCATTTGTGTTTGAGCCAATTTTATCCATTCTTGGGTGAATCTTAATCCTGAGCAAATCCTCTTGTTGTGAAATGAGAGACATACTTTGCTTGAGGGCAAGCAAAAATCTAGTTGGGCAGCCTGCTACTGTTACACTTTCCCTCTATGATCATGACAAAGAGTGTGTTCTCTTCATCAAACTCTTGTCTTGCAACCTTGGCTTCATCCCCTTGAGGTTCCTTCTTGTTTTCATTGCACTCTCTTGCAAAATGATCAAACTTTTTACAAACATAGAATTTTGTCTTGGTCTTGTCTATCATTCTCCTTTCACCTATAAAGTTTCCTTGACCATAATTTTTGTTACACCTGCTCTCACCCTTTTGAAAGTTCAAATTCTTGGAATTTCGAGATTCTCTTCCACCAAAATTATGAAAATTCCCTCTACTCTTCATGGGTCATTTTCCTTTTTATCTCTTGTCTTTCTCATTGAAACGAGCTTGCAATGCGATCTCCGCCTT